CTGCATCACCCCCCTGACGCCATCCCCGCCCTCTCCTCTCTGCCAGGACACCGCGGGGACATTTTTCCACCCCCCTGCTCCGCCACGGGATTGGATCTCCCTCGGGAACGGCACTGGGGAGCCCCGAGAGCGGGCACGGAAAGCGGGGACCCCACTCACCACGGTCAGCAGGGCGCCCTTCCCGAAACAGGGGTGGAAGGCGATGAGCTGGGGCCGCGCACCGCGCTCGCCGCGCAGGCAACCGCTGCGGGGGAACGGAAACGAAAAACCACCGCGGGGAAGAGGTGCCACGAGACGGCGCTCGGTCACACCAGCAAAACGCAGCAGTTTGGGGGTAGTTTGTGGTTAAACAGAGTTTTTTTTCGTTCCGCTGGGATGCACCGCGCAAGAAAAACCCGAAGAAAAGGGGTTTGAGGTGGATAATGGACAATACAGACTGGACAATACAGACAAAACCCAACCAGTCCCGGGGAAATCGGTGACGCTGCCGAAGCAGGAGCACAGGACAGCAGCGTCTCCACTCTGAGGTGACTCTGCTCTTCCCCACCACACACCGGGGAACCCAAAACCACCCAAAATCAACCCAAAACCAACCCCAAACCACCCCAAACAGCACCGCCACACACCACGGCAGGAGCTCGAAGATGGGGCTGTTGCGGGTGCGGAACACGGCGATGACGGTCTGGCTGCCGGGAGCCTCGGGATGTCCTGCGGGGGGACAGAGAAGGAGCAGCGAGGATTTCCCGCGGCCGAGGGCGTGCAGACGGGCCCCTCACCGCCAGACTGGGGACGTGGAGGCCAGGTTTTAGTGGGAACTGGGGAGACTGGGGCAGGCAGCCGCTGGGCTGGGGGAAAACTGGCTGCGGAGGGGCGCAGGGTCCCAGGGCGGGGCTTTCAAAGACCTTTCAGCCACTGAAAGCTGGCTCCGAGGTCTCAGGTGGGGAAATTTGTCTGAGAAGGGTTTGGGCAAGATGAGGCGACTCCTGGAAACCCCCCCCAGTCTTTACGGTGC